GTCTCCAGTCCGTGTGGTAGAAGTGGCTGGCGTAGCTGACAACGCTGAAGGGGTAGTTGAGGTTGTTCTGTATCACGCGCCGGCCCGCACCATCGGGGAACGTGCACTCCAGGTGCTTCGTTCCTGCTCAAACACAAACCAGTTACCGAGCCCCCAAAAAAACACCACCCCACCAAACATACTCATTGTATTCAGTGATTTCTAAAAGAGCTTTTCAGCCTAAGGATGTAGAAGTAACTCATGCTGTGAGTCCCCCAACCCCATCACACCAAGTCCTTGGTGTGGGACAATGGAAGGAGGGAAGGAGGATCTACTAAGCTAAAACAAAATCTGATTTCTTCCCCTCAAGGCTTAGTGTAATCCATCCCCGGTGAAGTTACCTGCGTCCGCCCAACAGAGCAGCTTGGAGAAGGGGTCGAAGGTCAAGCCGTTGGGCAAGCCAATATCCGTGTTCACCAGCACCCTCCTGTTGGCTCCGTTGACGGTCGACGTTTCAATTTTGGGTGCTTCACGATTCCAGTCCGTCCAGTAAAGGTTGCTTGGGAAATAATTATATCATGAACAAACAGGACACGAACAGTAAGGAGTGGTAGGAGATTATCAGCTTGCTCTTTGTTACTGGTTCTTGTCAGGAGAGAGGCCTGGTTTTCCCCTCAACTGTGCCTGAAATAAATCTATTTGATTTGAAGAAGAGCTCCAGAAGAAAACCGGAAAGCTCTCAAAGATGTTTACGACCCAAACTGTAGCTCCTAGACGAGGGCGAGTCTTAGGAGTAGCACATTTTGTATCGCAACAGCACCCCAGGGGCACAGTTTGTGTTTTCGAACGCCAAGCGTGTTTCAAAGCTTTTTAAAAATTATGGACGGCCTGACACTGAACCAGAGATTAGCCAAATCCTGAATTATTAAATAAAGGAGGAGGTGGGAAACAGAGCCAATGCCTCCTATGGGATGTGCAATGGAGGAAAGCTGCTCAAAGGGTCGGGATGGGGCCTTGGAGCCCCCGATCCCATGTGTCCCACTCCGCCTTGCAAAGCCCTGGGTGCGAATCCCCGTGGGCACTGCAGCTGCTCACCCTCGGACGGGGTCCACGGTGATGGCGCGGGGGTTGACGAGCTCCGTGTCGAACAGCACACGGCGCTCGGAGCCGTCCAGCCGGGCTCTCTCGATCTTATCCAGGCCGCTGTCGGTCCAGAAGATGGCTCGGCGCAGGTGGTCCACTGCCAGCCCCTCGGGGCTGATGAGACCTGCAGGACACCTATGGTCAGTGTCTGGGGACATGCTGGACCTGTCACACTGTCCCCAACCCAAAGCCAAAGCAAGCTGCTCCATCCCTGGAGGTGTCCCAAGGCCAGGTTGGACGTGGCTCTGAGCAACCTGATCTGGTTGAAGATGTCCCTGCCCATGGTAGGGGGTTGGTCCAGATGGTCTTTAAGGTCCCTTCCAACCCAAACCATGCTGTGACCCCAAAGCAGGACATTCCCTGGGCACAAATAGGCATGGACCCAGCTGAGGTGGCTTTGGGCAGATGTCACTGGGGATGGGAGCCCACCTGAGTTGATGATGGTCTCTGGCTCAGTGCCTGCCTCCAGACTCGCCCGGTTTATGGTCCGGCCGGCCACATCAGTCCAGTAGATGGTCTTTTCCCTGCAGTCATAGTCAATCCCCACCACGATGGAGCCCTGCCAGGGTTGAGAGAGGGACACAAGGTGAAATCTCAACTGGGTCACCTCAATGAGCACCCCCTTATCCCAGCAGGCACCACTGGGAGCTGCCCGGGGCACTCTGGGAGATGCAGCAATGGGGAATGATGCTGAAATTCCTTCTCCCCATCAACACCCAACACTGGCAGGCTCCTACCGCATGCTGAACCCTGCAGCAGAGGTTTTTAGGCAGCTGTCGCAGGCACACACCCACGTCCAGATGGGTTTAAAAACCCCTTGGCTGGAGGAAACGACTGCTCCAAGAGTGCAGGCAGCCCCAGGAATGACCTTCAGGCTGCGGAAAAGCAAGACTTGGCAAGGTGCTCTAGTTCCCCGGGGTGCAGGGAGGGTCACGGGCCAACTTTTAGTGTTCCTCTCCCTTGGTCTGGCCTGGCTGGAGATGGCCGTGCTCCAAGAGGAGTTCAAGGAAGGGGAAAGGCAGGTTTGCAGTAGAAGAGTGAAACTGACAGCCCGGGCCTGTGACCAATGGCCAGGGGAGCTCCTTCCCCACAAATGAACATCAACCTTCTAGAGGTGACCCCCTCAAACCATCAGACAAGAGCGCTCCAGGCTCAAACTGGAAGAGGGGGGAGATTTAGATTGGACATTAGGAAGAAAGAGGGTGGTGAGGCACTGGAAAAGTCCAAAGAAGCTGTGAGTGCCCCCTCCCTGGCAGTGCCCAAGGCCAGGTTGGACGGGGCTTGGAGCAGCCTGGGCTGGTGGAGGTGTCCCTGCACATGGGGGTTGGACAGGATGAGGTTTTAAGGTCCCTTCCAACCCAAACCATTCCATGACCACAAAGCCTATCCCCAACTCTGGTGTCCTGCACCCCAATGCTGGAGATACTCTACATGCAGGGAGAGCAGGGTCTTCGCCGCGTCCTTCTGCAGCCACGTGCCATTGAGCGGGAGGTACCCGATTTGCTGTCCCTGAGCATAGAGCAGAAAGGTCCCAGTGGCTGGCGGGGACACATCAGGCCGGGGCGAGGGCCGGACGCTGGGCGGTGCGACGCTGGGGAGACCTGGCACAAAAATGAGGTGGGGGGGACATGGAGAGAGGTGGCTCAGGGAGCACCATCCCCTTGGCTGTGCAACCTGCACAAGCCTGTGCTAGATTGGGAGTTGTCACATTTGGGGTGCCGAGCTCTTACATGGTGGGGTGCTGCCAGGCTCCGAACGGGTGCCCTGGATCTCCCTGCCACTCTCATCCACGCACCAGCAGTACCCGCTGTCCCCGTGGCACTGTACTGGAGTGAACTGACCGTCCGCGTCGCACTGGGGAACGTACTGGTCGGGTCGGGGACTGCCGCCGTAGTGCTCCAGCAAGCTCTGCCGCCAGCGCTCACACATGGTGGGGGGCCGCTCCGTGGGCTCTGATGTGGGGAAGGTGACAGTCACCCCCCTGCGATGGACCCCACATGCAGAGTCAGGGGCTCAGGGCTTTGCCAGACCCTCGGGTCCACCCACCCCAAACCAACACAGCCGGCCAGGACATCTCCTGCGACATGGTACTGGGACATGCTTCACCCCAGCAGCTGGGTGCCCACCGATCCCACTGGGATGCCCAAGGACCCAACTGGGTGCCCACCGATCCCACCAGGATGCTACCAGGATGCCCAAGAACCCAAATGGGTGCTCACCAATCCCACCAGGATGCTAACAGGATGCCCAGGGACCCAACTGGGTGCTCACCGATCCCACCAGAATTCTACCAGGATGCCCAAGGACCCAACGGGGTGCCTGCCGATCCCACTGCGATGCCCAAGGACCCACCTGGGTGCCCACCGATCCCACCAGGATCCCCAAGGCCCCAACTGGGTGCCTGCCGATCCCACTGGGATGCCCAAGGACGCAAACCAGCTCCACTCGCCCCCCTCAAGTGCTGGGAGTCAGCACCCACCTGTGTTCCCACAGCGAGGTGGCGTGCTGCCTGGTGCTGTCCGTGTGCCAGCGATCTCTTGCCCGGCAGTGTCCACACACCAGCAGTGCCCAGTGCTGCTGTGGCACTGGAGGGGCCGGTACCGCCCCTCCTCATCGCACTGGGGCATGTGGCCGTCACCCACGGGCGAGGGTCCAGGCGGCACCGCCCGCGGG